CACCTTTGATGACAGTTACTGTACATGGCCACAGCTCTATGAAGCACGGAAAATAAGGTAAGACATGGTTTACATTACTCATTCTATTCTTCACAGGGTGTAACATCATAGAAAAATGAGAAATAAGAATCTATACCACAGAGGATCCGTGGTCAGGGAAATCATGAGCAGGGGCTAGTGGTGCACTTTATTCCAGCATGCTGAAAAGAAACATCTGCCAGGTCAGATCTTTTGAAAGAAGAGAAAGATAAGGCTGTCTGTTAGCCCAACCAGGGACAGGGCCACCAGAGTGGAAACCAACCAAAAAGCCATGGAGATCCCTCTCTGGCATGGAGTGAACAGAAAAGTGACTACAACTGTGTTTGAGTGGATTAAGATACAAAGGAAATGTGGTGTTTCCTTACAAGCCTAGACAAATTTCTAGGTTTGGAGAGGATGAAAAAATGATCTAGCTCCCCTTATAAATTCAGCGACTATTCCCAGCTGTACAATAGACACTGGGGAGCATGACACCTCTACAATCCATGGGGGAGGCTGTCTTAGTTCCTTTTCTCTCCTTGTTGAGATAAAAATACTCGACACCCAAAGTTAAAAGGGAAAATGTTTATTTAGCTCACAGTTTGTAGAGGTTTCAGTCCACAATCAGCTGGCTCCAAGGTAGGGTGGCTTGGCAAAGGGCCATTGCAGAGGAGAAACAGTTCATGGTGGGCAGAAGACAGCAAAGCAACAAGGGGTAACCACAGCTCTTTCTATCCCTTATATCTTATCCAGGCTACTTAGGGTGGGCAGCATTCACACCATTAATCCTAGTGCCCTTGATCCTAGCATTGCACCTTGAGTCAATCCTAGCATCACACACTCTAGCTCTAGATCCAGCCACCTCTGAAAAGGCCCCATCTGACCACATGAGTCTTTGGGAGACATAGAGACACAGCCATGACAGAGGCCCATTACTCACCCGATGTAACAACACCAATGTGGGCATTGCTAAGGCTCGACATTGGGTGCTGTTTTATTTTTCTTTCTTTCTTTCTTTCTTTTTTTAAAAAATTCTTTTATTGGTACATTGTAGGTATACAATACATTTACATTTCTCATTGGGAATTGCACCTTTACATGATGCATCTTGTTTTTCTTATTTTTTCCCCATTCCCTGCACTCCTTTCACCCCTCCACCCTTCCCTATTTACAAAGACTTTGTCTCAATTTTTTTCATTTCTCATAATTTTTCCTTTCTCTTCTTTCCTTTCCCCTACCCCTCCCACTTCCCCTACCCTTTGGACCTTTTCTTCCTATTTTGCATTATCAATTATTCATTCTAATCATTGGTACATTTTAGGTATACAATATAATGACATTCATCATTGGAAATTTGCACCTTTACATAATCTCTCTTGGGTCTTATTTTTCCCTCTTCCCCTCCCCTCCCTTCAACCCCTCCATCCCTCCCTATTTACAAAGACTTTGTTTCCATTTTTCCATTTTATCATATTAATTCCATTCCCTTCTTTCCTTTCCCTACCCCTCCCACTTCCCCTTCCCCTCTGCCCCTTTTCTTCCTACTGGGTGCTGTTTTTAAGGTAAAAGACACTCTGCCTTCAAAGAAGCTTCAGAAGGTTCTTCTAGAGCCCCAGTTTTATGTTTCACAGCTCAGAGCACTGAAGGCTCTCATTCTGTTTAACAGGCCTGTGTAGTCCCCTGATGTCTGATCACCAGAGACTTGCCTGCTTTGGTAGATCCAGCCCTGGTAGCCCCCAATCCCCTTTCCCATGTAATGCCAGTGTCCCCACCTTCTGGGAGTGTCAGAGACTGCCCTGGTCAGTCTGCTGTCTTATAAGGAGAGGTTATTTGTCTCACAGTTTTACAAGTTGCAGTCTATGATCCGGTCATGCTTTGTGCTGTACAACGCATCATGGCAGGGGTGTGTGGGAGAGCAAAACTGCTCACCTAAGGCCAGGGAGTGAAAGACAGGAAGAGGAAGAGATTAGAGTCCCCCAGTCTCCTTCAGAGGCACATCCACTGGAACCTGAGGACCCCTCTCTAGGCCCCAGCTTAGAGTTTTTGCCACTTCCCAGTACCAACAAACTGGGACTAAGCTTTTAACACATGGACCTTTGAGGGACGTTGCAGATCTGCCATGGTTTGGATCTAAAGTGTCTGCGTGTATTGAAAGTGGAAGCCAATATAGATATTTACTTCCTGTAAGTTGTTTTCAGCCATTTGGTGACAGAGACAAAAAGCTGGTTAATACAAGGCCCAAACTGTAGCACCAGCTACCGTCACTGATGGCCAGCCACCTTGCTGGCACTGTCCAGAGCGCCCGCTGTACCGCTGTGCAGAGCTTGGGTTTGCTGGCCTGGGCCACCACACAAAGCAACACACACACAGGCAACACAGCCCTGGAGGTTGGAAGCCTGAGTGCAAGCTTTCAGCAGAGCCGATTTCTTCTCTGGCCTCACTCCTTGGCTTGTAGGTGGCACCAAGGCCCACACGAAGCCCCTCCCTGCCTGTGTCTGCATCTTCATCTCTTTTCTTATGAGGACATCTTCAAGGCCATCCTTGGGGCCTTGCTTCAAGTTTAATGACCTCTCTCATGACCCTCTCTCCAAATACAGTCACTTCCTGTGGTACTAGGTATTGGGAATTCAACATAGAGGTTTTTAGGGAACAGAATTCAGCCCATAACAGACCCAGGAGTCTTTTGGGGGGTGGTTTTATGGAAATTCATTGTAAAACTACTTAGAGTCAGGTCACTGGTATGTTGAGTGTTCCCTCCGGGCAGTTGTCCCTAAGAAGAACTACCAACCTTCACCTGCTACTTCCAGGAAGGGGCATCTCCTAACACCACTGGGATGGTGTGGAAGAAGAGCACGTGGACCCCAAAGCCTCTTCAGGGGTCAAGAAGCTCCCTCTCCCTGAAGCTGCAGAGTGAGGGTGTGCAGGGTTTGCTCCTCAGCAGGGTAGGGTCTCTGCTGTCCTTGATCAGTGGGTGGTGGTGACAGGTACTGTGAACAAGCAACTGCCAACTGTTGTGCCATCCCCACCCCCACTTTCCAGGGGGATGAATGGGAAACAGGCTCCAGACAGGGCCAGTAGGACTAGCCCCATTTCCCTTCACCTCCATGTCTTGCCAGCAGCTCTTTTCAGAGGTGAAGGTAGCATCAAAGCCTCATAGTTCTGTACATGCGTTCAGCTGAAGGCCCAGTTACAGCCCCATAAGGATGTCTGCATCTTGATCTTTAGCACCAGGAAATGTTACTTCACATGGCAAAAGGGACTTTGCAGATGAAATGGCATGAATGGACTGGAGATGGGAGATTATCTAGACTATCCAGGAATTCTCATGGAATCACAAGGGCCTAATAAGTAAAAGACAGGAGGATCAGAATCAGAGAAGGGGAGACAATGGAAGCAGAGTTCAGAGAGGAGAGAAGATGCTGACCTGCTGGCTTCAGCAATGGGTGCTGGAGAAAGGGGCCACAAGCCACAGAATCCAGGTGGCCTCCAGAAGCCCACGATCAGTCTCCCTCTGAACCGCTGAGGGAAACAGAGCCTTGCTGATTCCTTGGTTTTACTCTATGAAAGCTGGTAGGGGCTTCTGAACTCCAGACTTTGAGTTAGTCAGTTTATGTTGCTTTCAGTTGCTAAGTGTGTACTAATTTCTTACTGCAACAATGGGAAACCAGTGCAGTCCATAGCAACTATAAATTTGGTTGTAGTGCTTTGGTCTAAGAAACCAAATTATTTCACTTCAAATGCAGGGATGTATATCATAAAACAAATGTCAGGTATTATGTCATACTTTATTCTGGAACTAAGTTGGCATGAATTGGGAGCTTGGGAGATGGGAATATGAGTCATTACTGATTCTTCTCCTGGCCTATAGTTCAATATCTATGAGGACCTAAGTGATGCAGAAAATTTATAAACCATCTCCTGGGTCCAGGTTATAATGAGATAATCTGACATGTCCATTCTCTAAGCCCCTAGTCTAGTGGTGGCAAAACTATGGCACACATGCTACAATGGGCTGTTTGTATAATTGAAGGCTCTAAAAGGTTCACCATCACTGTCCTTGCCCAAGCTAATACTTCAGAGGTCAGAGAACATTTTCAATAACAGCCAGCTAGCAAACTCTGCTAACTCTGTCCTTCGGTGTACAAGCCACCACAAATACTATGAAAGAAATGAGTGTGGCCATGTGCCAATAAAACTTTTATTAACAAAGACAGATAGCAGTCTGGATTTTCTCAACCCTCCCCACCACAGTGAATCCTGCTGTGTATGAGTTTTTCCATTTTCTTTTTACCCTTCTTGCACAGTTTCATTTATAAGAAAAGATCTTCTTTCCTTCCAAGATCCCCACTTCTGCTTGGCAAGAGTAAAGGAAATAAGCTTTATTTCCCTTCCTAATTAGGCCACAGGGAAATAATTAATATTCTCCATCAGGTTCTCCTGCACATGCATATTATTGACAGTCTGTTGGATATACAGATCAGCGTACATTCACTGCTTAGTAAACCATTGGTAGTTTGCATCCTGCATAACCGTTCAGTCATTATTAATACGTGTGTTGGAATCAGCCCTCTGCAGATAGGCAGGTCTGTGCATGCCCTGACGAGGTCCCAAGTTGTGCGGAAGACACCGAATCAGCCCGCTGCAGACAGGCAGGTCTGCGCACGCCCTACCAAGGTCCCGAGTTGTGTGGAACAGACCGAATCAGCCCTCGCCCTGGCAACAATCCACTGGACACATCCACCCCCCCCCCCCCCGCCCCCCCCCCCCCCCCCCTGTACCGCCACCTGGTTCCACACTACAAAGATGCAGAGGGGGTGAAGGGAGGGCTAGGAATGGGGAAAAAATAAGAACCAAGATGCGTTATGTAAAGGTACAATTCCCAATGAGAAATGTAATTATGTTGTATACAATGTACCAATAAAAGAATTTAATAAAAAAAAATACTTGTGTTGCCTTAAAAAGTCACAAGTTATGCAGCCTACACACAGCACTACAACTAAAGAGAGCTCAAGGCAGTAGGAAGCTGCTGTGGGAATCCTCATGGGTAGAGCGGGGGGCCAATCTGGGCCACCAGTTCCCCTTCCATAGTGGCCCATTGACAGGGAGCCTCCCGCCTGGGCTTCCCTCCTGCTGCCCTTGACCTTCCTGTCTTCTGCTCTCCTCTGCAGTCATCTGGCTTGAGGATCCCCCAAGGTCATGGATCAGGCAACAGTTATATCTTTAGATGTGAACTAGGGTGAGTTAGAGACTAAGTCTGGGGACACAAAGTGACAGTCCTGGTTTTGAGTCACCTGCTCTTCTTCAGCATCAAAATAAAACAAAATCAGCTTTTGAGGACTTACATCTATTCTCTGGCTTCCTGGTTCACACTAAGCTGACAGGGATCTTTAGCATTTGGACCAGTGCTAACTATTACAAAGAGAAGGTGAAATAGGTGTGTCTTGATCAAAGAGGCATAGTCCGTGCTTGAAAAGCAGACTCACAGGAAAGGTTACAGAAATGGCAAAGTGTGTTACTTTCTTCTGCTTTCTTCTCTAAGTACACAGCCTTCCCTCATCCACCTACAGGTACTGAAGTCTTCACCCACTGACAAGCCAGCTTCCTTGCTGCTGGCAAGAGCTTAGGAAGCCACAGGAGGGAACAAAGGCATCTGCAGGTGGAGCAAAGTTAATCATTAAATCCCATTCCTTGAGCCTGCAGAAAGGAGAAGCCCCACGCCCAGGCTGGTAGGAGCTGAAGGAAGGAAAACCCACGGAGACACGCCAGAGGGAAATCACGCTCACCTGAAACATGGGCCGGTCGCTGTCTCCTCGCCAAGTTCTCTGCAAGTCTTCCGAAAGAAACAGTACAAACTGTATGATATTTGCAGAGAAATGTTTTTTTTCACATTATGTGTGAAAATCATTTTAATTAATTTAATCTGGAAAACTTGAAACTCCAGTGTTTGAAAGTAGGCGTGTTGAAGGATCTAGTATTTTTTTCCCACTCTTTCAATATTGTGTTTTCTTCTTTAAAGTCAGAGCAAGGCAGTGTGATAGAGACATTTTGACATCGTTGTTTTTTGTCAGTTATTCCCTAAATTTAGGAGGAGGATATTTGGAGAAAACAAGTGTTGGATTGTTCCATTGAAAACTACTGGAAGTTGCTCTCATGCTAATGTATGCCTTAAAAAAGAAATCATAAAATACCGTGTGCTTCCAACAATATGACATTCTGGAAAAGACAAAAACTATAGAGGCAGTAAAAACATCAGTAGTGACCTGGAATTAGTGGGGAGAGATGAATAGGGAACAACAGAGGATTTTTCAGGGCAGTGAAACTATTCTGAGTAACACTACAATGGAGTGCACAAGCCATTATGCATTTGCTCAAACCTAAAAAATGTTCAGGACCAAAAGTGAATCCCAAAGTAAACTGCGAACTTTTGATGATAATGATTGATCAATGCAAGATCATCTGTTGTAACAAATGTATGACTTCGGGTGGGGGGCAGACACATGGAGGAGTACATGGCAATGTATTTTCCACTCAATTTTGTTGTGGACATAAAACTGCTTTCAGAAATAAATTCTATTAAAATATGAATAATAAAATACTTCCACATTCACACACAAAAACGAAATCATAGACTTCTTGTATTACACTGATTCAGGATGTGCACTTTGCTCTACACACACTCAGGTTTTTCAACATGAACTGAACAGAAACCAGAAGTGGAGAGCAGACAGTGGATAATAGTTTTCAATCTTCACAAGGTATCCACCGAACTCTGAGTCCAGTACTGTGTTGTATACTTGAAAACTGCTCAGAGCAGACCTTAACTGTTTTGCCATTCATTCACAAGGATTTACCATTCACAAGGATTTACGTCATGACAGGTGATGGGCATTTATCGGGCTGGACTGTGCTGAGCACTTCATGATATAAACATGTATCAAAACATCACATTGTACACTGGAATATCTACAGGTTGAGTATCACTTACCTGAAATACTTGGAGTGGAAGAATCTTGGATTTCAGATTTGAAATATTTATGTAGTAGCGACAAGATGTTTTGGGATGAGACTCAAAGGTAAACACAGAATTCATTTATGTTTTATATACATATAGGCTGAAGTAATTATACACAATGTTTTCAATAATTCTGTGCATAAAACAAAGCTTCTTGGTGTGGAATTTTCCACTTGTGGTGTCATGTCTGTGATAAAAAATGTGGGGGTCTTGGAGCATTTTAGATTGTGGATTTTAATGTTAGAGATGCTCAATTTGCATACATTTTATTAGTTAATTATGCATCAGAAAAGCTAAGGTCAGAGGGAAGTCACCATGTTAGGGACTCTGGTTAAAAGTGCACAATTATCTTTTGACTTCAAAAGAATTATTTCCTCTGAACTCTGTGTTGTATTCTAACCATAAAATAGGCATTTGGGGCTGCAGGACCACTCACCACTCCCACTGTGGGAAATTCTCGCACCAGGGCGCTTGGAGTGGTGGTGGTACAGACAGGGAGGCCTGGACGTGACTGTCCTGACCCACACCCACCTTCTCATGGAGCGCGGGCCATCGTGGAGACCTCTTGGTTCAAAATTTCTCCGCAAACAAGTAAAAAGTAGTTTGTTGGTTGCCTTGCCACTACCTCTGTGATTTTAATGCTCCAGGGGAAAAATTACACAGAGGACTCTAAGAAATTATTTTATCAGTATTTAAAAGATAGCTCAGTTTCATGTGCTTACTAAAAAGGGGAGAAAGGGGACCGGAAGAAGGACATGGAAAATGAGAGGAAGAGAAGAGAGAGCTGAAAGGCTGAGAGGGGGGACAGCAGGAATTAAGTGGAAGGAGAAGCAAGGACAGATGCGAAGGCCGAGGGGAGAGGCACAGAGGAGCAGAGGCTGACTCAGAGGAGCCGCAGGAAGTGAGGGACAGGAGGGGAAGGGAGGAGCACGGCACTGGTGGAGAGAGTGCAGAGAGCCTACGGGGTGCCCCAGCGCGTGGCATGGGGTGTCCCCTCCCTGGCTGACAGCGGAGTCATTCACCTTGACTTCCTTCCAGTCTGAGATTGTTAGCGGTGCTGCTGGGGCTTCTGTCCTCTGCCAGTGCCGTTCTGGGCTCTGGGGACACATCGTGAGGCTCAGGTTCTTGTGGGGTGAGACACAGGGCTTTGGCCAATGAGGAGCAGGATGCAGCTTATTATAAAAGTCTGGGGTTAGCCAGCCATAGCGAGGCATGTCTGTGATCCCAGCACCCTGGGAGGCAGAGGCAGGAGGATCACAAGTTCAGGCCCAGCCTGGGCAGCTTAGGGACTTAGGGGAGCCCAAGCTCCAAATAAAAACTTAAAAAAGGCTGGAGACGTAGCTCAGTATGAAGGCCCTGGGTTCAACCCCCAGCACTGCCGAATGCACTTTAGAGTTTTTATATTCTAAATAAAGATTATTTTACCACAGATTTCTCAAGCCCTGGCATTCATAAGAACAATTTAAATATTAAAGTTGCAGTTTGGAACTTTAGAGAAGTCTAAATTCTTGGCATAAAGTAGCATCTTTTACCTGGGAAAGCAGCCGGTAGATTTGTGGTTTTATTTGGGATTTGCACAGGCAATGTGTGGGGAGCGTGGGGCGAGAAGTGGGACCTAATCATTCCCTGACCTGAGGTTCCACTGGGAAACACATTCACTTCATTGTCTTGGCCCTTTATGCTCCTCTAAAACCAGCTCCACATGTCTCCTTTATCCAGCGGAGTCTCGGAAAGAGATTACTGGCACTGTTGTTCAGGAAGTTAAGAGAACCTTCAGTTTAAACAAAGGGATGCAACTTAGTTCTTAACTTTTGCCACTGCTCTTACCAAATGTCAAGCTTCTCCATGCTGAAAGACGCAGTCCAGGCCGATCTCAGTGGGCATGTGATAGATGAGGTGGCAAAAGAGTTCAGAGGGAGAGAGGGGCTACTGAGCAGCGCGTCAGTGCAGATGGCTTCTTTAGTGAGCAGCTCTGTGCTCCACGGGTGGGCAGGTCCCCGGGGCCATCCTGCTGGCGCTGGCAGGGGCTATGGAAACGGGTCCTTTGGGGAGTGGGCTGGTGTCGTCTGTCAAAGCAAACCAGAACCAGGCAGGACTTAAAGCAGTAAAGACAGATTATTGCAAAGGGGGAAAGACCCCAACATAGGGCAATTCTGAGTACCTCATGGGCAAGAGGAATTTATAGCCGACGAGCAGTGTTCATGGATGGAAAACTACCAAGAGGAAGCATGAGGGATGTAGGGGACTTTGTCTAACTCCTTCCCTGACAGGATTCCTGCTGAAGACACCCGGGTAGGCAGGCATCGCCCCGGGTTGGGGGAGGAGGGACCTGGTCAAATAGGCAGCTGCCATTGTGCAGAGGCCGGGGGAGTCTGACTACACAGACTTAGCCGGCTTCTGGCTAACGTGGGATTTTACCAGGAAGTAGGCAGACCAGCCTAGGAGAACCCAAGTAAAGTGTGGTGAAGAAAAGTATTTTTGACATTGCAGAGCCACCATTTTCCACCATGTGGTCAGAGCATCCTACATGGCCACATTGAAAAGGATTAATCACATCAAGGCTTAGCGGAGAGAGGAAGAAGAAAATGAGCAGGGCCTTCGTATCTCTGAGGTGATAGTACAAATTTGTGTAAACTTTTAAAATGTACTGTCGTTTCATATATTGAAATTTTTCACATGTGCATGCAATCATTTGCAATTGAGTTGTCTTGGGATTTGGGCAGGGAGTGAGATTTGCAAAGGAAAAACCCTGATTATTTCCAGTCCCCATTCTCAAGCCATCATTTGGGTCAAAAGGGCTGTGTGAGAAATCATTTAACAACAGATGCTCATTTGCCATGGGACCCGGAATTTCTCGGGACCCTTGGACATGTTAAATTGTAGCAAATTGCTGGAACTAAACAGCACTGGTGGGTGCATAACCTAGAAGATGCATTTAGGGCCACAGAATTGAACACTTAAAAGGGTTAAATGGCGCATCTCATGTCATCTGTGTTTTGCAACAACGATGACATGTAGTCAGTCAATTTGTACAGCAATAATTAGACATTTTTGTTTTAAACCAAGGGGAAGAATGAGATGAAATTTCATTGAGTTTGAAGCAGTTTGGTGAAACACTGTGCCTAATAGGACTGTATCTTAGTATGACTTGGTAAGAGAAGAAAATTTACAATACAAACTAATTCCTTTCCAGAACCATAGCTTCTAAGTTCATCTTTTGCTGCAGAAATATTAAACTCGGGGAATGGGGGGACAAAAGTATAGAAATCATCCAAAAAACCCAGAACTAACCATTACAACCAGAACTAAGCAGTAACTGGGAGAGGAACTGCACCGTCTGGCACGAACTCACTTTGTTTAGGAAACGCTGCTGTGCAGTGGAATGGCGTGTGGAACTGAAAGCATCCTTTCCTCTTATCAGAAACAGCACTGCACTTGGAGTCTGGAGCCAGTGTCCTCTCCCTTCATTTGAGGCCCAGGTCCAAAGCTTAAAGGACCCTGAGGAAAAGCACAGCTGCTTCCTGTCACTCCCTTCCCTTTGTGTGCTGAGCTGGACAGTGAGAAGCTCCATCAGATCCCCAGGCAAAAGGAGGGTTTCTAACCAATGCCAAACTTACTTACATGGGAAAATAATTTACTTAATAAAACTAACAAATCAAGCCCCTGCCATCTGCAGTATCAAATTCATTTTTTATTTCAATTTCTTTTCCACTTTACCGAACTGCAATAGCATGCGTGTGTTCCATAGTCTGCCTAGAGAGGAGAGGCTGACTTCTTCATATAATAAGCAAACCCCAGTAAATGTTTCCAAATTTGATGAGAGTGGGAGGAATCCCAAAAGTAATCCAATGATACTACCTTCAGTAGCCTCTTAATATCTCCCAATCTCCTTAGCCAATAAAATGCAAGGCTGACCCCTCCCCAGTGAAATCCAAGCTGGCTCTGCTGCTGAAGAAATGGCTTCATCTGGTCGCTGGAAGGATTGAGGAGCCCTATTTGGGTTTTATCAGCTTGCCCACCTAGTGGCTTGGCTCATTCTTTCTGATTGTTCCGAGCAAATGCAGAGCCCTTCATGTCTCCATAGAGATTATTCCTCAGCATTGTGATTATGCTGTGATTTCTCTTAAGATGTTCTTTAAGGCATGGCATTGGACAAATGGAAGAAATGCAAGTCAATTGCTACTGACCACTCAGGAGCCCCCTGTGCTTGCAGGGCGATCAGTTCTTTACTTGTCCAAACTTTAGCCAAGTGTCTCAGCCATCTTCGAAGCTCCTGTGCACACATCATTGTAAAACCAAGTTTAGGGAGAGAAAACCACTGTCAATATCTGATAAGCTCACCCTCCGCCACCGCCTAGGTGGTACCTGTCTTTTACGAGAATCCTGCGGGGTCGGTGTAGCCACAGCCCTGCTTACCCCTGATGTTCTGCTCAGTGCTTTCCCATCCCTGACCCCAGCCTGCGCCTCAGCTGCCAAAGTCCACTTATCTGTGCTGTATTTGGGGATGATCCCAATCTCTCCGCGTATTTTCACAGTTCTCTGTGCCTCTGGTGATCATCCTGAATGAAGTTGCTTTTACTATGCTGTAACAGTATCGTTGAGTAACTTTCTTTCTTTAGCAAAAGTTAATACATGTGATTGTCGGGATAGATGTTACCCGGTGTGACAACAGTCACCCAGTGAGAGCCACGGTTGACTCTGCTGACTGGCTCGCCGGTGAGTGTACCTGTCCCCTCCCTTTACTGAGGGCATTCTGAACCATGCATGGGAAGAAATACATGTGATTGCCTTGTCTTCTCCTCTCCCCTGCTGCCCACTGTGTAAACCACACCAGCACCATTGTTCAGAGCCCCTCCCTGTGAAGGCCAGTACGTGTCTGTGTGGATTGGGAGATATATATACATGAATATATATACAAGGTAGGTGCAACATGGAGCTGGGGCAGAGGTTCCCAAAATACAGTCATGTGTGGGTTAACACCTGGCATGGGGCTTCAGGGGCATCAGGGTGGGATTGCTGTCCTAGAACTCATGAAAATGTAACGTAGGACATTAAACTGTATCCTCAATATTTGCACACACTTACATATGCTTATGTGTATGTAAGTGTATATATCTTCATAAACATTGAAGTATTGGAGGTAAACTTTGTTGCGGGACAGTTACACCTAGAAGTGCAAATACATTATAAGGACACAGAAATCATACAAATCATAAAGATGCAGCTCAATGAATTTTCACAAGATGACCACACTTTGTAATCAGAATGTGAAGGAAACAGAATTGCCTATCCCAGAGAACTGCCCAACTTTTCCTGCTCTGTCTGATTTTCTTCTCTCAGTGTTTGCACCATTTCATGGTCATAGTTTGTTCATGTTTGCAGTTGTAGATCATCCACGTGTGTGTGTGTGTGTGTGTGTGTGTGCATATGCATATACTGCAATCTATAGTTCTGTTCTATTGTTCAACAGCCATTGAGAGTTTCTAGTTTGGACTATTACAATAGTGTCACTAGGAATGTCTCATACATAGTTGTACAGCCTTGCTGGGTATAAACTTTGTGGTGGGATTGTTGACCCAGGGCACATGGAATGTAGTGTTACTCCAAACACATTTCCGGATCAGTTACACTTCAACCCTCAGTGTACAAGGGTTCTGCTTGTCCCCTGTTCCTACTAACTCTGGAGCTTTTTGTCTTTTTCCCTCTCATTGTCCTAGTGGGTGTGTAGTGAAATCTAATTGCAGTTTTAATTCACATTTCCCATTGCCTCCCAAATGCTCTTAAGGATTTTGTGTGTGTTTATTTGCCACCTGGAGTGTCCTTTTCTATGAAGTACCTGCTTAAGTCTTTTGCTCACTGGCCCATTGAGTTGACTACATTTTTTCTTAAAGCTTTGTAAAAGCTCTTTATATATTCTGGATACAAGTTTCTATTTGGATATATATTTTGCAAAATTTTCTCTCCATGGGTTTTCCTTTCAGTCTGTTACTGCTGTTTCAACATTTAGAAGTTCTTCATTCATTTTAATGTGGTTCTGACTTTTTATATTTTTCTTTATGATTAGTATCTTGTGAGTTTTGTTTTTTTAGAAAAAATCCATTCCTAGAATATGTTCTTCTATTTCTCTATACAAGATTTATTGTTTTATCTTTTGCATGAATTTTTCTTATGGATGTCCAATTGGCTCAACACCTTCGAACATAAAGATACCTCTTCCATTTGTCTAGCAGGATCATTTTGTCACATGTCAGGTGACTGACTGTATATATTTAGGTCTTGCATCTGGACTTTCTGTTTTGGGCCATCCATCTAGTCATCTAACCATGCTCTTGTCTTATGTTGGGGCTCAGAAAATGATAACCCCAAAGTGAAGTCCTCACAAGCAGTTTATCTTTGGCCTTTTCCTGCCTTCCTATCTCTTGCTTCTCATTTTCTCCAGAAACAAACTATAGAAACTAAAATTCCCCTCCTCCAAGTGAGCTGTAGAAAGCAGAACTCTTTTGCCCTAACGCCAGTCATAAAATGGAAAGTATTACTCACCTTTCAGTGTAAGAGTGGGCCATAAAGAAATGCTCTGACATCCTCTGTCTGATCATTAGACTCCAAGCTTGGAGGGCCCAGGCCCTCCCCAAAGGAACTCTGCACAGAGCCAAGAGGAACCTGGACCAGCCTCCCTGTGTTCCTTGTTCTGTCACCATTCACTGACACCCTTTTCGTTCAATCACGTTTCTACATGGCTGTCCTTGCTTCTGTGAACCCAAGCATAAAATCAGACAGCTCTCCTTTCCTTGTTTGGGGGGGGGGGTCTCCATTCTTCAGGCTCTTGTGTCATTTTTTTGTTTTTGGTACTGGCGATTGAACTTGGGACCTTGTGCTTGCGAGGTAGGCTCGGTGCCCCTGAGCTAAATCCCGGCCTTGTGTCATGTTTAAGTGTGACCAAATAGGGCTGTTGTGCCTTTCTTCTATTAGCCTCTTTGGTTTCAGGGACATCAGCCATGACCCTCATGCTGGGAGGAAAGGAACTGACCCCTTTCTGCCCTACACTTCATTATCATGGCTTAATAATATGACTCATATTGCATTTTTAATTGTTTGCTTATTACACATTTGCTGAAAAGGCATCAAAGGATATTGAGCTTATTTGGGGCTCTTCGCATTCAAACTGCCTTCAAAACCTTATAGATTCCCCCAGTAGTGTTTATGATTGTTTCACTTGTTCACCCTCCATTTCCAAACTCCTAGTCTTATCATTTAGGAAACTGCACCAAATGTGGTACCCGCTACCAGTGACGTCGACAGTCACCATTTTTGCCACTGGTTTCCAGGAGTTGTGTTAGTGATTCTCTCAACACTTCTGTGTGTTTGGTTTGATCTTCTCCATCTCCCACTGCCATGGCTTTGTGTCTGCGAAAGGCCCCTGTGTTACAGGATCAGTTCCCAGGCCGGGATGCCATTGGGTGGTGGTAGAGCCTCTAGGCAGTGAGACCTGGCGGAGATCTTTGGGTCACTGGGGATGTGGCCCGGAAGGTGGTAAGCGGGGCCTGGGTCCTTCCTCCTCTTTCTTGCCCCAGCTATGAGGTGGACACTTTGCTCTTCTACATCCTCCCTACCACTTGTGCTGCCTCCGCATAACCCCAGAGGCAAAAGGCTCACCCACCCATGGACTGAAGCTTCCGAAACCATGAGCTGAAATAAACATTTCCTTTTTTTTTCTTAATTGAAGATATCAGGTATTTTGTTATCACAATAGAAAGCTGATGAACACACCCATGTTTGGGAACTGAGGCTTCGGAACATTACCTGGGTCACTCAAGCCTTCAGGTGGTAAGTGCTGGAGATATGATTCTTCTCTCCACTTTATGGGGGTGATGGAAAATTACAGTGGATGCTTAAATTAAAGAGAAAAACCATATTACAGTGAAACACCCATTTTCAAAAAGAGTGGGGTAATTGTGTTCAAAGTAGAGAGCAGTATTTTGAGGGGGGTTGAGGGCAGTGTGTCTTTTACTATTATAAAAAGTTTTAATATATTGTTATCACACCTTGTTGATCAAACATTTATAGCAACTTCTGTCAAACACGCAAAGGTGTCCTCTCATCCACTTTATTCACCAGATGTGGCACCGTGTGACCTCTGGCTCTTCCCCAAGTCAGAATGACCCTGAGGGGGAAACATTTTGAGTGGATCCCGGACATGCAGGCAATCACGACAGTGCAGCTAAAGATAGGCGAGAGGACTCCAGAGCTGCTTCAGAGAGGGGCAGAAATGATGGAATAAAGTTCGTAAAGCGAGGGAGAGTATTTTGAGGGGAACTGATAGAAATTTGTCTCTTGTTATAATACATTTTAAAAAATTTAAATATTCATCTAATGTTTGATCACACACACACACACACACACACACACACACACACACACACCCGCTGTACTAACTTGCAATTCTTTAATTACGAGGCAGGTGGGGCTGCGTCCTCTGTGAGTTTAGGCATCCGGGTCCCTCCCATGATCTGGCCTGGATGTTCCTTCTTGCGTCCTTCTCAGAAGAGCGATCATTTCCCTGCCTATTGGACCCCCCACCCCACTTACGACACAAAGGGGAAAGAGATTGTGACGCTCACAAACACATTCCACAGGGGCCGAGAGGCTAAGAGCCGATGGCACGCAGACCCGGAGGGGAGCGATTTATTGAAAATTCAAAGGGAATTCCTCAAGACTAGATGAAAGAAAAATGTGCAGGTGGCCAGTCCCCCGGGATCTAGGATGCAGCTTCTTCTCCCACGCACCCACACCCACGAATCTCCCTGCCGCCCCTGCACACTGACATCGGGGAGCTTTGCAGTTTTCTAATGGGAACACTGGCCCAGCCGGCTGGGGCTGCTCGGTGCTGTGCTTGGTGCTGCGCACGGTGCTGTGCACGGTGCCAGCCCCGCTCCGGAGCAGGGGAAAGGAGACAGCCTAGGCTACCAGCAGAGGCCTCCGGGCCTCAGTCACCAGCTGGTAGCTTGTGCAAATACCCGGGATTTTATATTTTCCCTAAAAGCAATGCCGTCTGTGGAAAAGGATCCTGACGTGCAGCTAAACATGGAACGCGGGGCTTTAGATCTGGGAAGAACGGTATTTGGAAGTAAGTCTTCTTCTCAGAGCGGGCTTTGATGCCGGCTTCTCCTGTGCTTCAAGTTGGGAAAATGCAGTTTTAGGAATCACGCGAGCTGGTTCATTCCAGGATCCTTCACCTGCTCCAGAATGCCTGGATGGGAAAGACAGCGAAGGCAACAAACATTCCCTCCACTTTCACCTCCCTTGTACCTCACCCTCCAAACACGGGGCAAAAGGACAACAGTTCTAGTCTGGGGGGGACAGGAAGGCCCGGGACCCCTGGAGTCCTGCACACTGTCCCAAAGCCATTGGCGCTGTTTTCTGGAAGGTGTAGACCTAAGCAAAAGGCTCCTCTGAGTCTGCGGTCCTCACATGAGCATCACAGCCTTCACTTTTCTGTAAATGTCCGTGAAACAAAAATGTCTCCCAAACAAACAGGAAGAAAACAAAACAAAACTAAAATGGAGATGTAGAGACTCAGCTTAGGCTTTATGAGGTTTCACAGTGACTATCAACCCCAAACTTCTTACTTAGCTGTTTTACACCAACTGTGAGAATGCTAAAGTTCTCAGGCAGGGGTAAATCCTGCCACCCAGGGAGTTGGCCTCCTGCTTCAAGGAGACAACTTCTAAACACAAGTCATCACTGCCTGGGTTCACAGCTTGCCTGTCACTGTTTAACCCCTTCAGACCCAGGAAGCAGGCGTGATTTCCATTGTACAGACCAGGAAAGGGAGGCTCAGAGAGGTAATGTCACTTGCCAAAGATCTCAAGAGATTTATGTCTAGGTCTGTCTGACTCCCAAGTCTAGGAAGTAAGGAGTCAGAATGTCTCCGCTGTCCTAACTGCCCTCAGGACTTGGATTTCCACTAACCCTGTGAGCTTTGCTGTGGTTTGCTTCCCAAGCAATTCACATCGGTCACCCTGCTGGCCCTTCACAGAGCCTTACTTTTGATGGAGATTTTACAACAGTGTTTTCAGTTGAAAATCCGTTTTTATTTTCTTAAATTTTATCTTCAATCGACAACCAAAAATTAAACATGCTCATGAGCTACACTGGGATATTTCCACGCATGTGCACATCTCAGAATGATGAAATCAAGCTGATTAAAGTATCTATCACTTTACCTACTTACCATTTTCTCTTTGAGATAGAACATTCCAGATCTCTTTTTTGTAATTTTGAGACATACATCGCTGTTAGCTATGGCTCTGTTTTGGGCAATAGATCACTGAAACTTACTCTTCCTGTTTGGCTGAAACTTTGTACCTATTGATTATTTTCCCCGTCATAGAAATGTAGGCAGTCTCAAAGCTTCTAGGTGAACCAAATCATTCTTAGCAGACTGGTTTGTTTTGGCATGAATAATTTAGTCTCAGACCTTTCTGGTAATAGAGCAAATGACAACAGCACCTCGTGTGTGGATGGGCCAGGAATGAGAAGGGAGAGTTCATTAGGCCCATTTGTGTGGCAGATGACAGTTTGTACCACGTCAGACACAGGAATCCCAGTATTCTCTGTTCATGTCTGCACCAGGACCTGAGGCTTGGAGTCCAGCAGTCCTGTGGTTGGACTCTGGGTCTTATCTAATTCCATACAGCATGTCGAGAGGATCAGCTTCCTTGAGCCTTGCCCACAAATGGGTTAGAAATGGGTTTCTCATAATTGAAGTACAGCTGAATCCTAACAGGTGCTTGAAGTTTTGAAGCTGCTGAGTCTGCAGGTGTTCAGGAGTCTGGACAGGAAGACATGCAGGAAAGAACGTTCCTCACGGGTTGGCCAAGTGATAGATGAGTTGTGTGTTGAGGAGGAAGTATCCACACAGGGCAATGAGGACGGAGGTACAGGAGCATGTGGGTCCCAGGACGCTCTCAGTAAGTCCCCCAATTAATGCCTACCACTGTTCATGGACAGAGACACAAATGGAAGCAGCTATGCTTTGTAGAAAGTGGATACAAACCAGAGACTAAGTAACTCACCTGTGGCCGAAGAAATCAGTGCTGGGAGCTGAAAATAGAACGCAGCTTCTGGTCTTTGGCCGGAGACTCAATTCATCATCCCTGTCTCCTCAGGACTGAAACACATCCTTCTCTAAAAACAAGTGGGACCAAGGAAAAGGAGGGTTGTTTTTGTAATTATCATAGCAACAGGTTTAGAGTTCAAAATAAAAATTGTGATTGTGTGTGTTAATGAGTGTGTATTTGGAAGTGAGGGCCCTGGAGAGATAGTGGTAACCCTCCTCAAGAAAATAAAACTGAATTCTTCTGTGTCTCAAACACTACTACCATGAGTATAAAAAGCTTTAGTGATTTAAGTTTTGAAACTTTCAGAGTGGTAAATGCAAGTTTCTCCTATAGATTTTCTTGTTGTTTTATTCCTCTTTTTAGCAAAATAAATTTCAATAATAAAAATATCTCCATATAGCTTAGTGAGAATCCTCTTTTAATCTTGTAGCTGAGGAGAGTCTATTGGATTCCAAGTAATTTCTAGCCAAGATATAACTCTATATATCATCATCATGAACAGGAAGCATTCTTCGTTTATTTTATGTCTAGGCTTAGATGATATGATGGCTTTAAAGAAGAAAATGTCCTCTCTTAAAGTAATCCCTACCTAAAAGGGCTTAATGTGGTAAGAGAGTGTAATTCTCTGCATCAGAAGCTTCAAGTTCCCTCTTACTATCCATTGATTCTGTTTCCTTAGTAATAAGACCCTGAGTTTTTTCTAGACTCTTTGCTGCTAATGCAAATGATTTCTTGCTGATATCCCCCAAGTCCAAATGTAGCTATGTGTTTTGGTCAATGAAATAGAATCAGAAAAAAGAAATACAAGTAAGAGTATTTTGTGCGATTTCTAAGCAGTATATTCAAGTGGAAGATGGATATCTTCTCCCCTGGGCCTCGGGTGTGATGGCTGGAGCTCTGGAATCCTGCCTAGACACTGTGGTCAGAGGACACATTCTAGGGGTAACAGAGGTATCTGCTGGTCAGATCTGTGCCCCACAGATTTAGGGGAGCAGGCCCATTTGTGTCACCAGTGCCTTCCTCTGGGCTGCTTTTACAGGTGAGACAAATGCCTTTCTACTTGTATAATCAGCGTTAGATTTGGCTTTCTGTTCCATGACCCCAATCCTCCTGATGCAACTTGTAAAATGGCTTCGTCACTACTGGCTGGATTATTCTATTAAAATCTAACTTTCCAGGGCTAAAGGGAAGAAAATAGCCCATCTGGTCTTTCTCACACTGTCCTCATCCCCTTCCACAGTGGCCTTGGCTTTCCAGCAGTACCAGTACCCACACCACGGTGAACATAATCAGTATGCACCACATATACTAGAAAAATGTTAAAAAATACAGCAAAGGAAAATGTTATGAGCTCTCATCACAAAATAACTATTGAATGTAATGCTCTTGTTGATTAATTAGATCTGACCATTCAATTTGTATGTGTCCTTCAAGACATCATGGGTATAAGACAAAAACACAAGGTGTTGCCTATCAGTTAAAATACATTTTAAAAAATGACAACTGTTGAAAAAATTCAGATATGAAAGAAATTGCAGGATGATTTTATTTCCGACATGATTTACCTTTAGGATGAGAAGATCTAAAGGGCAGTAGCCCTCTGGGTGCTTTTTGATAGAGAAAAAATGATCAGCAAATAAGCAGATATTTATATTTGTTCTGAAAGGCAAAAACATTTTAGAAGCAGTACCTCATAAAAAAACAGATTTTTATTAACAATACTACCTAAATATATAACTTCTGCTTGAACCTATGTGCATTTATGTACAATGCTCTAGATGATAACATTTAAGGGGGAAAATGGGCATGTATATGATTGTATGTTATAAATTTAAGTTTATTTATTTGTGTAAACTTTATTAATATAAACCTGTAAACTTAGAAGGTCACGGCTGTCCTTTATTTAAATAGTAAAGGACTGCTGCCAATGCAGTGATTAAATTGTCTGATTTTTTTAAATATGAGAGATTACCATTAATCATTTGGGTTCATTACCATTGTGTTCGAAGGGTTTTATGGAGAGAGATGAATATCTCCTTTCCTTGTAGCCCCCACATGATGTTTAATTGGATCTGTCCTCTCTCTTCCACTTTACTTTGCATGATTTAGCAAGTTGAGCACATATTGTCTGCAAGGATTTGCTCTCAGAAGAAGGAGGTCATTGTTTTGGTGTTGGTTCAAACTCCACCAACTTTGGAGATGCTGCCAGACTGGGCATCCTGCAATGGGATCCATCATAATCAGAGCCTGGCAAATCGGTGACATTTGATAGAACGCACTTCCAGGGACTCATCCACTCAAGTATCATTTTGTCCAGCTGCTTTTGCAAATGTTCTGCAAAAGCCAGAGCTGTGAAACGGAAAACCTCTCACCTGGAGTGATGGTTTGGAATGGGTATGACTCAGAGGGAGAGGACCGAGGGACCATGG